AAAAAACACCTCTCCAATCAGCCACCAAAAACCATTTAAATAATATGGAGAAGTACTAACATAAAGGTTTTGAATTAATAGTTTAGAGAGCAAGTGTGTGATAAATGAAATTCAACAGAAAGCTCTAACCAGAGAGCAAGATCAGCGTTTATGTCAACCTTAAAAGATCAGCAATTCCAAAACAAAAATATCAAAATTATTCCTCTGAAGCTATTTTTATATCTTGGGATGCTTTCCTTTCCCATTAATTTGTACTTATCCTTTATTTATTTTCACTTTCACTCTCATGGGAGTTTGTATCTTTGAACTTTTTTTTTTGGTATTATACATATATCAAAGAAAGTTCGTATCTTGTTAGGAAGAAAAATGAAAATATCAAAATAATAACTAGCCAAAACACTTAACCAGTAGATGCAAGACAAACATACAGACCAATAAAATGCAGTGGCCATGAGTATAATTGTTGAAATGAAGATAAATAATATAATCGTCAAATATTAAGCAAGTAGATCTGAACAAATATCAGTAATCAGCAACAAACAGGAAGATAAACAATATAATCGGCTTTGCTTGGTGGCAAAATTATGTCATGCTCAAGTTGAGAATATGAACCAAAAAACACAAGTTTTCAATAAAAATCAGCCTTCCAAATCTTCGACAATGCTCCATACGGTTCTAGAATCTCTATTTCTGATTCCGTTAATTACAATTTACTGGTTCTTGGTATTCTTCCTTGCATTGGAAAAGGTATCTTAGGAGTGATGAAATACCACTATAATTTATGAATACTCGGAGAAATACATACAAGAAATCACTCCTTAATGAAAAAAATGTATAACTTTACTATGTACACTACGCCAATGCTTTACCACGGCAAGCTTTGCACGATCCAAAAGGACCCAACAAAAGCATGAGCTTTGTTCCTAGGGTAAATTATTTGAAAAACCTCTGGCTTCCGATGAATCAACCAATAGATTGGACAGTAAAAAAGAGAGGAGAGAGAGACTCGGAATGAAAGCGACCAATAAAGACCCGTCATGACTGCTGCGAAATGGAATAAAATAAGATCCCCAATCTATAATCATAACCAACCCAAAGCTCCTGGAAATGATTTAAAACTAGTAAACGTAAAAAACTTCCACAAAAAGAAGCTAAAACGATTCTAAAGTAAGCTCCACTTTTGTAAGAACAGAAGAGATCAGAACCACGAGAGCCCACGTTAATCTAATTGAAGTTTAACCTCCATAAAAAGAGCAAAACATTAGCTGAAAAGCAGCTCGAATTCTCAGTAGCACGAGAGCGAAGCTGAAATCGAAGAACCCCAGAAAGCAGGAGTAAACAAACTCCCAGAGCGACCACAAGTCAGAAAAGGGTAAGCAACGGCAGAGGGTTGGATCACGAGGATTCAAATAGTAAAAACCAACAAAAACCCAAAAGAGCAAGACAGCAAAAGAAGCCAAAAAAGGGGAAAAAAGGGAAAGTTACCCTGAAGAAGAAGCTTCTGAGTAGTCTCATTGGGATCCATGGAACATTCTCTAAGCATTGCATAAATCTCATCATCACTGTGATTGCCCGTGATCTCCTTAATATTCTCGATCGTCTTCCTCACACTGGGGGGGATTGAAACCCTAGACCCGCCACCACTCATCCTTCACGACCAAGAAACCCCAGATACAGAAAGAACAGGAACAAAGAAAAAAGAAAAAAGCTTGAGGAATCGGGCTGCCTGTGCGCGCGGAGGGGAAGAAAACGAAGGAGGGAAACGGAGTTCTGAGAGAGAGAAAGGGGTTTGTAAAATTGATCTGTCGTTGTGAAGAAGACGAAGAAGACGAAGAAGAGCAAAGGGGAACGAAATGGAAGGGAAGGAGAAGAGGGGGAGAGAGAGAGAGAGGGCACTGCGAAGAGAGAGCAGTGTATTGGAGGAGTGTAGGGCTTTTTGGGTTTTTCGCTCTTTTTTTTTGGTAACTTTTTTTTTATAATAATATGGGAAAGAAAATTACACGATATGTCCCCGTGGATATGCTGTCCGCCTGAATTGGAAATCATATGATAAATTGATAAGTAGGTTTAATTTAATTCGATTAATTCTTTTTTAATCTAATTTGTAATTACCCTTAAAAAAACAATGTTTAGATATTGTTTTGTTATGTGTTTTTTAAGTTTTAGGGTTTTTTTTTCGAAATCAGTAGTAATTGGCATATACCTCCAATCAAAAGTTGTAAGTTCGAATCTCCCCCAACATATTGTACTAAAATGGTTTGATTAAATTAGTCACTTCTTAGAAGTATTGACAGACATTTTGAAAATATAATGACTCAATAAATTAAAGTTGAAAGTATAATTACCAAAATAAATCAAAGCTAAAAGTACATATACTAAAATAGTATTTAAACCTTAAAAAAATTATTGTTCGATCAACCTAGCTCAACTATTAAATTATAAATTTTGTGTCTAATAAATTCTTAAATTTTAAAAAGTGTCTAGCAGTCTTATAAACTTTCAATTTCATGTCTAATAATTTAGTTCGCTTTCAATTTTTTGTCTAATATGTATTTTAACTATTTGATTTTTTTTTTAATTCACATATACGAAATTGAGAATTTAAGATTCTATGGAATATAAAATTCAATTTTATGGGTTTAGGTTTCCATCTAAATGTTCCTAAGCTTTAAGAAGTTTCGCCCACATTCCCACATTTATTGTACCACATTTCTAACAAAATTTAAAATTTAAAAACATTTGTTGTACTGCCTCTCTAAAAAAATTTAAAATTTTAGGTTTACGAATAATAAGTTATAAACTTTAAAAAGCTTTTGATAGGTTGTTGAACTTTAAAAAATGTCGAGTATAACTCTAAGTTTTTAATTTAATGTCTAATAGATTCTTTAATATTAAMTTTTGTGTCTAACATGTCATTGACGAATTAAATTTTTTTCTTTTTAATTCATGAATCTATTAGGTGAACTGAAAGTTTAAATTTTTATTATACATCAAATTTAGTTTATGGATCCATTAAAAAACGATGAATGAGCCAATCATCACTTGTTAGACCAAAAATTGGAATTTTAATAATCTATAGGATACAAACTTGAAAGTTCAATGTTTAAACTTTTTAATACAGGCACGTGAGATAAGATATCTATTTTATTAAGACTTGAATACGTGTCTTAACCAGACARGCTATGCTCAATTTAACATTTTATTTTCTAAAATTAAAAGTTCAATCACTCAATTTTACATTCGTCGAACTAAAAGTATAAATTTAATTATAGTTTGTCTGGCTAGTTCAATTGATAAATACCTTAGTAGTAATAATAAGAGTGTCGATCTTAGCTCTTACAGTTTTAATTACACTACCCAACCCTGGTTTGAACTCAAATGAAAAGTGTTGCTTATAGATTTCAAATGTTAATTAGCATACTTCATTTGATTAAGATATGATTAACTTTAATATGAATTTACGAGTTAATACATTGCTAACTTAAGCTATCTCATACTTTTGCACTCGATGGTCAATGTATATCTAACCAAATGAAACTTTTACATGCCTCCGTTACTCTTTGAGAGGCATACACCTCATAGAAACAATCCATTTGAGGCTGTCATTTGGCCAGCTCTTTCGAGTATYATTTGATTTAAGTTAAAAAATACATTYCGTCCATATACTTTCATTAAAACAACAATTTGGCCCCTGAACTTTAGTTTCTAATGATTTAATCCATATAGTTTAAAATTTATAACAATTTAGTCCTCAACGGAAAAAAATTTATTAAAAAAAAGTGTCAAATTTTATCATATAACAATTTAATATTTATAATTTATAAATATGTTTGGTCTCTCTATAGTAAACTTAACAAAAAAAAAATCACAATAGAAACTAAATCGTTACCAATTTTAAATTACAATGACTAAATTGTTACATATTAAAGTTGAATGACAAAATTGTTACAAATTTGAAAGTACAGAGATTAAATAGTTACAAGTTAAAGCTCATGGACTAAATTGTTACTTTAACGAAAATACAAAGACCATAAGCATTTTTTAACCTTTAATTTAATAAAAAMTTACCAAAAAAACATTAGTAACTTCTGTTATGAGTTAAATCTTTCAATACCCATCCACGTACTATGTTATTTGTTTTAAATTTGAATCATAATATCTATATCTATAATATATTAAAAAGTACGGAGGTGGAAAATTTTTTTGGATAATATTGACCCATACTTTTTTTGTAATACCAAAATTATCATTCTCTTAAATTTATGTTTCTCTCTCATCCATCCATTTTCTCTTTTACGTTAGACTCTYCCATCTTTTCTCATTTATCTCTCGCTTATTTAGTTATAATTAAATTTTTAGGGAACAAAATTTAAATGCATCACAAACTGGATTAAATGAATGAAACATAAAATGTTAAGAWTATCAAAAGTTTTGCCTTTATTTATATAAATTAATTTTAAATTTTAAATTTTTTACATTTAATTAAGTTGAATATTGGAATATGAAAAGTATTAGAATTTTAAAGGTTTTTGTAACTTTTATACTTTTAACTATAAAAGTGGTTCTCTTCCTCCTCGTTTTTACACTCTAATTTGTTGTTTTCTTTTGTACATATATTTTTTTTTTATCTTTAGTTCATCGTGGTTTTTAGATTTAGTGATAGAATACTAACATTTTCAATATTCTTTTTTATGTTGCAGAGCGACGTTGTTTAGCAATTGTTGATCATTGTGTGTATCTTGCAAGCATTTGTTAGTTTGATCTCAAGCATCGATAAGAAGTAAAACTATTTTAAATGAAAAATAGGATAATTGCCTTGATTTTGTTCTTCAATATTGCTATTTTTAAGTTCGGACTATTTTGTAGTTAATTTTGATATCATTATTTTTTATTTTAAATATTTTAAAATGGTTAGGTTGTCAGTTTTATTTAAATACGACAAGATTAACTTTTGATTTTCTCATATACATGAAGAAAAAATAATCATCCTATCATTTTATTTTATGATATACTCTAAAAAAATATTAAATAATATTTTTTACRAATGCAATGTAAAAAAATAATTTTACTAAAACAAATATACCATTATCTAAAGTTATTTTTATTTAAAAKAAAAAGTTAAAAGTAGACAAAGAGAACATAGCTCTAATTGGCATATAYTTCCAACTGGTTATCCAACCATGAGGTTGTTTCAAATATATATAAATTAATTTATTCAATCAAATAGTGAACTATTTATTTTAATGAGTGTTACTAAAGAGTAAAAAAAAATTATCAAAATACATAGAAAAATCACTCACTATTGATATATAATTTATTTTGTTATAAATAAGAATGATGGTAGTATTTGATAGATTCATAACTTGTTTATAACTAAAATTAACATTAATATACAATGGGATAAAATTAAAATAAAACGTGCAATGCATGTGTTATCAATCATTATATTATTTTAAAAGATTATTTAATTATATCGTAATTACTAAAATTAATATTCACTCAAACTATACTTAAACGCCAATTAATATGTACTTTTTTTAATAACAAATATAGGGTAGAGATATTTCAGCCTCTGATAACTCAAGACGAAAAATATATATTTTTATATTTTATTTTTAAGCTTGACCAATTAATATATTGATTATAGATAATTATATCTAATTTTGCAAGCTATATWAACACTCGCAAAAGTCAAATTTAATACATAATTTTGTTACGTTTGCAGATTATTTTAGTTCATATACATTCACTCAACTAATATGGATCTAAAACTTTATGTAACTGCTCAAATTCAAATAAATAAATTATACCAAATTTAAAGAATACAGCAAAAAAAAAATTGTAAAATCGATAAATATAATATGCAAATTAAAAAATTGTATATTTTTTTTACTAATTCAGTAAATTTAAATTTACAAAATAAAATATGGCATATTAAATTTATATGAGATACAAAATTTACMTTTGTTGAATTAAAAAGAAAAAATATATATAWAAATATAAAAATATAATGTTTCTTTTATACTATTTTCTCCACCCCATTTAGGCGGGTTTCCACGAGGATGAGACTCATGGGGAAAATGGACATCCCTAGTGGGTAGGGTTCTTACATACAACTTTTTAGTCGAAGATACATGCTATAGTCAAGCTACGTTATTTGATCATAAAAAGATAAAATAGTCGAGCTACGTTTAGGTGACCTAACATTCATGCTTATTATTTGTTTGGTTAACAAATATTGGAAATTTTAGGTTTTCTTTCCAGGCTTGTGTTTATTTTAGTCTATGTACTACTTTCAAAACTTCTACTTTAATCTTTATACTTTCAAATTTTYGTTCGTTTTAATTATTGTACTTTTTAAACGTTTCTTTTGGTCATGTACGTTAAAAATGTAACTATTTTGGTCCATTCATTTTCATTTTCATTTGTCTCTCATTTTTTCCTATCAAAATTTTAACATGACACTTTACTTACTAAAATTTATTGAAATGTAATAATAAATTTGTATTAAAWTTTTTTTATTGTGTATAAAATTTAGTAAATAGATACAAAAAAGGCTCACTTTTTATAAGTGCGAGAATCAAAATAGGCGTTTTGAAAATCTATAGAATAAAATGAACGAAAGTTGAAASTACAGATGACCAAAACGTACATTTTGAAACTATATGGACTAAAATAAATATAAAAAAAAAACATATTCATTAAGGAGCCAAAATGAAACAGTGATAGAAAACATAAGATAAAAATAAAATTAAGCGGTTAAAATAATTACTTTTTAAAAATAGAGGATCAAAACCAACRTTTAACCAAAACTTAAAAGAGTAGAAAAACAAAATCAACCTCTTAAAGATGGACTAAAATTAACAAATAAGAACAATAATAATAAAAGTACTATGGCCATTTTAACCTTAAAATTAATATATTTTCGGAGTTAAATTAAATTTTTAGAATCACTCGCACGTGCCATTTCCAAGAACTTGAAGCATTAATACCGCAGCCACGTGCTGATTATTTACGAATCTGCATTTCATGGGCACGTGGCGCACGCGTGATTTTGGACGTTACGTAGCGGCATTTTTCATATAAAAACTGTGATTTAGATACCAAAACCACCCTCAAAAGAGCCCGTCAACTTCCCAAAAAAATATAGGCCGAGAGGGCTTTTTCGTAATTTGAAATCCCTAAACGACACCGTGTTAAGCCCCTCTMCTCCCGCCCGTGGTCTTTCCCCCGGCGCGCCATATTCTTTCTTCCAGTCACAAGTCAGAAATTGCAGGCTCCGACTCCGACGAACATCGAAGAAGCTTCCGGCGTAATTCTTCTTCCTCTGCAGCGCTCTCCGTTACGGCGATCTTTCAGGTATACGCTTCATTCTCCGCTCGTTTTCACAATTTCTTATTGCTGTAGAAGCACAGCACCGCGATCACCTTTYGTTTACCTCTGCTTTGAGGCTGAATTGTTCGTACGATTTTGTTTTGGTTTTGTTGTCCGTTATCTCCTATGGATTGAGTGCGATAAACTTGTGGATTGAGTATGATTTCTGTTTCTTATTGAGCTCGGAGATCATTTACTAAAAAAAACAGAGTTGTACATTTATCTTTGAATTCAGTCTCAATTGATATAAGTTTTGTGGAGTACATGTGTGCAGCTATGGACTGTAATTTGTACATCTAGCATGCATTGTTTGTGCTCGATATTGAATGTTAAACGCATGCTGTTTTAGTTTCGTGGTGTAGTAGCTCTGGACTGCGTTCGTTCTCTTTCGTCGTTTCGTATGAGCACGAGTTTAAAATGTTTGGTGTTCCCTGTTTTCTTATATCAATCACATCATGTTTTCATCTGTCGTGTTTTCTTCATCTTTTACTTTTTTGTTCCACGATGTTCTGTGTTTTCTTTTTCTTTGTGTTCTATTTCATTTGGAAAATGAAATTAATAGGATTGGGCCACAGCACCAGAGATTAATTGCGTTTGCAGAATTCTGAAGTTGTGCTCTCGAACATTTTCATTATAGCGAAGCCTTTTCATCGTGGATTTGGAGCCGCTGTTTTTTTTTTTTGTTTGGAATAGGGCTGTGACATTGTAGAATTTTTATGCTAAGGTTTTTCTTTTGTTATTTTTGTATTTAAATTTGATTTCTACTTACCATTACCTGTCCTTGTTTATTCATTTACTTTATTGCGACTTTAAAAATGAATATTTAGCTAACCTTAATTTTATAGGCTACGTTCATTGATGGGGGATTCCAAGGAAAGTATATGGGAATCAAAAATCTTAGATAATGTACGGACCGGAGATTATTTGTCAGTTTGGAGAGGCTATGGTGCAGTAGGAATTGTTGGAACAATTTTTATTGGCATTCTTGTAGCCTTTTCACTTCCTAGTATCTCGTTGGCAAAGAAAAGGTGGAAACGAAGAGGAGTTCCTGTGGAAGTTGGTGGGGAGCCAGGTTATGCAGTGCGTAATGCTCAAGTGGCTGAACTTTCTCAGGTTCCTTGGAAAGGAGCTGAAACCATGGCGGCACTGTTTGAGCAATCATGTCGAAAGCATTCACGGAATAAATTCCTTGGAACAAGAAAGTTGATTTCCAAGGAATTTGTCACTTCTAGTGATGGTAGGAAGTTTGAGAAACTTCACTTGGGTGATTATGAATGGCAAACTTATGGAGAAGTGTTTGATCGTGCTTGCAACTTTGCATCTGGGCTTGTTAATTTTGGCCACAATGAAGATACTCGTGCTGCCATTTATGCAGAAACTTGTGCTGAGTGGTTTATTGCCTTTCAGGTTATCTTATATTGTTCTTGAACTTTTTTCTCTAGGGTTTTGCACATGGTTTTAACCTTTAAAGATTTAATTTTCTGTTCTATTTTGGACTTGAGGGGGTTATGAACAATTTGGAAATACACTTGATCGCTTACAGGGATGCTTTAGGCAGAACATTACTATGGTTACGATATATGCTTCTCTTGGTGAGGAAGCCTTAATCCATTCTCTTAATGAGGTTCGTCAAATAATCATCTCTCTTGCATTTTTCAGAAGACCATGGTCATAGTTACAGTATGGATATCTGTGTTATAATTTCAACTGCAGTATGTAAGACGAAAGTACCTTACTCTTCCTCCATTTATTTGACAGACTGAAGTTTCTACTCTGATCTGCAATTCAAATCAGTTAAGGAAGCTGCTGGCAATAAGTTCAAGTTTGACAACTATTCAAAATATTATTTATTTTGAAGATGATGGATACAAAACTGATATTAGCTCTGAAAATATGAGCAATTGGAAGGTTACATCCTTCTCTGAGATCATCAAGCTTGGTAAAGAAAATCCCGTTGTTCCAAGCTTACCTTCCAGTCACAGTATCGCTGTTGTGATGTATACAAGTGGCAGTACAGGTTTGCCAAAGGTATATTCCCATTTTTTAGTTTGATTATTTTATATTTTTTGGTCAATCTTATGCATGTACATTTGTCTTGCTCTTACACTGTTAAATTGCCACTCTATTTAGAAGTTTAAGTTGTTGGGGTCATGGTTAAAATAATATTGAATAGTTTCTGGTGTCGGAAACAATTGATTAATGGATGGTAGATGCAGACTTGATTGTACTAAGACTCGTGTGCTTCCATTTTGATGTACCTTCTATGACAAGAATGCCGTGTTGACGAGAACTTGTATGCAAGATTTGCCTGCAACATTTTTGTTTTGTTTTGTTTTGTGTTAATATTTCATAATGGTCATTTTAAGCTGAATATTCTGTTCATCTATTATTTTTGTTATTTGAAATTTATGTAATCTGTATATTCAGATTTTCATAAAAGAAGTTGTGAGTATTTATTGACATGTGTGTTGTATAAAACGTAGGGGGTTATGATTAGTCACGGCAACATCGTAGCCACTGCTGCAGGTGTTATGACAGTTATTCCAAAACTTGGTAGCAGTGATGTATACGTGGCATACCTGCCCCTTGCTCATGTTCTAGAACTGGCAGCTGAGGTATCATCATGTTTGCATTAGAGTTACATTTTGTAAGTATCTTTACTCATTGTTCTTGTCCAGACTGTCATACTATCTGCAGGATTGGCAATGGGTTATAGTTCGCCATTAACAATGACAGACACKTCTAGTAAAATAAAGAAAGGAACTAAGGGAGATATTTCTGTGTTGAAACCAACAATCATGACTGCTGTTCCAGCTATCTTAGATCGTGTTCGAGATGGAGTTCTGAAGAAGGTTTTAGATGGATATATGCATTTCCTTTATCCAATTATGACTCAAGTAACTAGCACATACATGAAAGTTGAGGATATTTGTTAATTATCAATGATGCCACAACTAGGTTGAAGAGAAGGGAGGCTTAGTGAAGAAACTCTTCCACATTGGATATAATCGCCAACTAGCAGCTTCGGAGGGAAGCTGGCTTGGAGCTTGGGGACTTGAAAGACTGTTTTGGAACATCCTGATCTTCAAAAAAATACGTTCAGTACTTGGAGGGCGCATACGATTTATGCTTTGTGGTGGCGCCCCTCTATCAGGAGAGTCTCAACGGTTTTTCAATATTTGCATGGGGTAATGCTTTTCATAAATTGGATGCAAATACAACTGAAATTACTACTTTTGGGTATTCCAATTGAGGTACAAATAACTTTAATTGCTTTCCTCTCTAATTTTGGTACATCTTCATGGCAAAATATAATGAATCCTTCCTCGATATATATGATTACTTGACTGAGAAGAGCATCCATGTATCTTTAGCAGCTTGGTAAATAAGTGAATTGAGGTACGGATATACTTCAAATATTAAGATCCCACTAGGCCAATACCTGTTTACGCAGAATATTGGCAGGGCATCAATTTTTGCATAACTATATGACTTGTATGGAATAAAATCATGCTTGGAAATCTGGATTGCAGAGTACTTACAATAATATTTTCTTCCTAGTAGTCAATTGAGAGGACCYATCCTCTTGCAAATTTAGCAGCATATGATTGATCTACAGCAGTAGGGTTCTTTTAAATACTGCTGGATAGAAGCAAAGATTAATTTATTTTACAACGTCAAGTTGTATTATCTTTCTGCTGTTACCTCTTGTTAGAGTGTTAAGTTATATCGTCACAAATCTTATTAGGAGTCATCAGAGGAGAGAAAGAGGTTAAACTAAAGGTTCGTCACTCTCTCATCCATGAAATATTGTTTGAATTTGCGAGCTTTACTTTGATTAACAATTACCAGGCTACTTAAGCACTCCATTGTTTTATAACCATCAAAATGCGGCTAGTGTAAATAAACCATTTGTTCAAATTGTCAGTAGACTTTCCTACGTAATTTGATTGTTCTTCAATAGGGCTACAATTGGTCAAGGGTATGGCTTGACAGAAACATTTGCTGGAGCTTCCTTTTCCGAATGGGATGATCCAAGCGTGGGACGTGTTGGGCCTCCTCTTCCTTGTTGTTTCATTAAGGTACGGAAAAAGATCTTATTTCAAATGTAATAATAAATTTAATAATCTTCGACCTATCAAAAACTTGAATTCTTGAGGCCTCATTTGATAATGATTTCGCTTTTTGTTTCCTGTTTTGAAAAACAATTTTTTGCTCTCAAGGGTGGCCCAGTTTACAAGAGCTTGAGGTCTCTTGTCATATATAGGCTTAGAGGTCTTAAGCTCACCCTCCGGGCCTTGGGGGTAAAGGGGAGTAAAGCTCGACTCCAAGTTATTAAAAAAAAACCTGCTTTCTCTCCTTTTATTTGGTCTGTTTTTCACTTTTATTTCTAAGTTGAATTTAAAAACAAAAACAAGTTTTTTTAAAACTATATTTTCAGTTTTTAAAAGTTGGCTTCCATTTTGAARACGATTTGAAAGAATAGAGTACAGAGCAAATGAAACACATAGGTGGAAGGAGTGTTTATAAGCTAAAAGTTAAATAACCGAAAATAAAAAACAAAATTGTTACCAAACGGAAAATCAAATGCAAAATTGTTATGAAATGGAACCTGAGGACTTTTAGAACTTAATCCAGTTAGAAATAATACTTTGATGCTACATAGTCATGGCGGAAAATGAATAAGGTACACCGGGCAGTATACAAAGATCAATAATCTTCACCCTGTTGTCCCAGCTCGTTTCTTGGGAAGAGGGTGGCTATAGGACGACTGACAAACCAATGCCTAGAGGAGAGATCGTTGTCGGGGGCACCAGTGTCACTGCTGGTTACTTCAAGAACCCTGAAAAAACTAACGAGGTCTACAAGGTAATTTTCTTACCACATTTCAATTAAATTTCAACTTCTGCAGGATTACAGAAGTTCTCAACTTAATTTTTGCTTGCAATAGGATGACGAGAAAGGTATGCGCTGGTTTTACACCGGAGATATAGGAACATTCCATCCTGACGGCTGCCTCGAGATCATAGATAGAAAGAAGGATATCGTTAAACTTCAGCATGGAGAGTATATATCCCTAGGGAAGGTGAGGCTTTAAACTTCTACGCAAAAATTGAAGCTAAATTGTTCTATGTGTTATTGCTCTGCTGGCTGTGGCTTACCCCACTCGTTTGCAGGCTGAGGCAGCCCTACTGTCAAGCAATTRCGTGGATAATGTTATGGTATATGCAGACCCCTTCCACAATTATTGTGTAGCTCTTGTTGTTCCTTTGCGTCCAGCCCTTGAGAAGTGGGCCAAAGAAGCTGGCATCAACTTTGAGGATTTTTCTCAGCTATGTGAAAATGGTGAAGCCATTAGTGAGGTTCAGCGATCCCTTTCCAAGGTTTGCAAATTCTACTCCTAATCTTATCTACTGAAATTAAAGGCATAAATATAGAAGAAACAGTCCCGTGCGAGTTAGATTTATTTTCTAATATTTCATAAAAAACGCGCAAAGAAGACAAGACGGTAGCATCCTTGCAGTATGCCTTTCGTGTAGCTTGTAAAGGTTTTAGCAGTTTTGTCCGGAGACATGGTTATCCTTTACCTAAATAAAGATTGAACAACTAAGATGGTAAGCCCATGATCTATGTTATCAAAAYACTTTGTAATAATATATTGTAGAGTCGTCAGGTTATATTCTTCCGAATATTTAACTTGTCAGTTCAACAGGTCCAAGCGTACCCGTGTTTGAATTATAATATTAGAAAAAACTTTAGGATGTTGAGGACAAATATTATCGTTCAGCAGTAAAGCAAAATTAGGATGCTACAAGCTTGAATCTTGTTGTAGACTCTGATTATTAGACTTATTTTTCAAACTATAGATTACAAGTCTAAATAGCTATTGTTTTGTTATACAATATAGAAATCCCACTTCTGAAATGGGACATTTTGAATAATGACTTTACATTACAGGTAGCAAAAGATGCAAAGTTACAAAAATTTGAAATTCCTACAAAAATAAAGTTGGTAGCAGAAGCATGGAGCCCAGAGTCAGGATTGGTTACTGCTGCTTTGAAGATAAAGAGGGAACAACTCAAGGCAAAATTCAAGAATGAGCTTCAACAGCTATACAAGTAATGAAAATATGAAAATACCACTGCCAAACTTTTTTTCATTTTAGTTTGCTATATCTCTCTCACATGGTGTCTCTATGTGGAAGATAGGTCTAAATAAAGGGAGCTCATCAAATTTCTAGTGGAACACAATGACTACTTAATACGTCTTTTGGTATCTGTTTGGTACGCAATTCAAATTTTCATTCGGTTTTTTAAAACTGTTTTTTGGATTTTATATTTTGTGATACAATTATTGGAATTTCTGAAAACTAACTTTTTTACGTTGTCATGATTTTTAGATTTTTAAAATTTAAAAACTTAAAATGCATGATGAATTTTTCTTTTTATAAATATAATTATTTCAGGTTATAAACCCATATTATTTTTTTTAATTAAAATAGGTAAAACATAATATGTTATAAATTATATAATATTGTATAAAATTATACAAAATTTATTACAATATTAATAAACTAATTATTAAATAATAATATTTTAAATTGAACCGTTGGCAACTCCGGCTAGTTTACATGTATTATTAAACACGTGGTAATTTTTAAATTTGCTATCAAACACATATCTGAAAACACTAAAAATATATAATATAATTTTTATTGTTTTCAGATAACTAGTTTATTTTATTGGTTACCTCAACAATTTTTTTTTAGTACTATTAGTTTGTTTATATATAAATAAGTAAATTGTACTACTAGCTTACAACATACGAGATGTTTGTTATTTTATTTGTTAGGTGCAAAATGGAAATATTAAGGTGTGTATTGTTATACACAAAATTAAATACAAAAGACCTATTGGACTAAACTTGTAGTTTACAAAAGGGTCTCGCAAAAAGAATTGTAACCAGGGAGGGAAATGAGTAAACCACATAATAACAATAATAATAAAAATAAAATTCTAACTTCTAAATTACTTTATTTACTTGAACAAAAAATGAAATGTCTTATTGTAGTTATAGTATTTTATCTAATGTCTTTTAGTGAATAAATATTTCTGGAATAATATGGTCGGATTCAACAAATGTGGAGGAGCTCGTTTAAAATTAGGAAAATACTTATTGTTCGATAATTAAGAAATAGAAATACAATAACAGATACTTTTTTAAAAAAATAATGACTGTCAAACAAAAATAATGAATTGTCAAACAATAGTAAGGGTAGAGAGCTAAGTAATTTTTTTTTAATTGTATATAATTTGTTAGATATTGAGATTGGGCCAAAATTCAAGTTTTTGATGAAACAAAATCAGTTTTCCAAAATTGTATGTTTTTTTTTCCTTTTTTCCTTTGTTGACATTCCAAATTTGTGCTGGGTTGATTAAAACAAAATATGATAGACTAAATATACCTAGTTCACAATCTTTACCTCTTAATATTTCAAGTTTCTTAATTTTACCCTAATGAAATATCACAACCCTATTATTAAATTATTTATTAATTAACATATTTGAACACGCTATCAAATATTATTCAACCAATGAAATTCAATTCAATTATCAATAAGACGCAGTCCACTTATGAACTAAATATACATGCTTGGGTAAGGCATAACTTTATCTAAGCATGTTTTAACCTATTATTTTCAAGGTTTAAAGTTCTATTGGCATGTCAATATGTCCAAGAGTTCAACATCGACACGAGAGACAAATCAAAATTTTCACAAGATCGTAAGAAAAAAAAATATGTATATATATCACCAACGTGGTGATAATATTTATTTTCTAATTTAAATATTTATTATGAATTTTTATTTTTTTAAATTTTTTAGAAATATTAATCGACATCCGATGAAAATTTCTATGAAATTGAGACATATCACTTGGTTTTTTTTCAACAGAACGTAGGATAGAAATTCGAACTCTTTGAGTATTTAAAAAGAGATGAGGTTGTTTTTTTTAATACCATGGTGAAACCAGGAAAAAAAAAAGATAAAATATATCTATTAACCTGAATTTCAGTTAGAGCGCGTTCCACAACTGTCAAAACGACCGCGATCCATTTCATCGGCTACGCTTCTCTGGAGCAGAGAAGATAAGGTTCCTATTTTCGCTTGCGAGGAGCAGCCATGGTCGAAGCTTCAAGGATTTTCCACTCTGCTCTAGTTCCCAACTTCTGTCTTCTCCAAAAGGCCCACACAACCAAGCCCTACACAGCCGCCTGTCGTAGGCACTCGATTCATTGCTCCGTCTCGACCAGTGACAGTGCCAGAGTAGCAGTGACCGAGCAGATTCCATGGGGATGCGACATCGATTCGTTGGAGAACGCTTCTGCTCTGCAGAAATGGCTGTCGGATTCGGGCCTCCCTCCCCAGAAGATGGCCATACAGAGAGTGGATGTTGGGGAGAGAGGGCTTGTGGCTTCGAAGAATGTCAGGAAAGGGGAGAAATTACTCTTCGTGCCGCCCTCCCTTGTCATCTCCGCGGACTCGGTAAGGTTTTTCTGCTCGGAAGTTCTAAAACGTGCGAGTTTGCAGTTGCTAATTTGAGAATATTTAAGTAATCTGCAACGTGTTTGTTAAATTTGGCTCTTGTAGTTTTGATTGGCTTATGTGATTCGATGGCAGTGTTGGTTTGAGTAATAGCTTCGTTTTGATAAAAAGGAGTAGGATTTGAAAAAAGAAATGGGCGGAAAGTGGTGTGGCCTAGTGGTGAATTGACCATAACAAAGAGTTGGGAGGAAATGGATTCAAACCATGATGGCTACCTACTTAGGATTTAATATCTTACGAGTTACCTAGGCAACCAAATATAATATGGGTCAGATGATTGTCTTGTGAGATTAGTCGAGGTGCACGCAAGTTGGTCCGGATAGTCACGAAAAAAAAAAGAAATGAGTGGATGAAGTTCTCTTTTCTATGGATTCTCTCTGAAGAAGTAGGAGGGGAATTGATTGCGTAATCCATTCGCAATTTTGAGGGTCTGGGGGAGTTTGACAGATGCTGTTTGAGTAAACTAAAGGTTAAAAAACATTTTTGGTACTTTAATTTCAACGTTTTAGTCCCTCAATTTTAGTGGGTAGTGATTTAACCCTTTTAACTTGAAATGACACGTCAATGGTATTCAATCCAAGTGGCTGCTGTGTCAAACTAGTATTACTCCTTAATTAACATAATTTTTCACAATAGGAGTTAAATTGTTACAAATTTTAAACTATAAAATATTACATGTCAAAGTTCAAAGATTGAATCCTTACTTAAATGTGTTCTTTAATCTAAACTAAATGAATGGTTATTAAACAATGGACATGGCAAAATCTGCTGTAATCGGTTGAATGTTGCAGCCAAATATGATGTCACGTATGATTATTGATTACTAAACGACCAGTAGTAGTAGAAGTGAACTAGGCTTGTAGTTTGCTTTATTTGGTAGGGAGCATGCAGGCCTTTTCTGTGTGACTTAACTTCATGTTAAGGTTTTCCGTTTCCATCTTCATCATCATCTAAGCTTATAAACCAAGAATATAGTTTTTCCCCCCTCTTCCGATAAAGACAACCAAAAATGCTACTGCACAAATAAATGTCTTCCCATTCTCAGCATGCTTTATGTTTTCCATAATAGGAGTGGAGCTGCCCTGAGGCTGGGCAGGTGCTAAAACGTAATTCAGTACCAGATTGGCCACTGATTGCTACCTACTTGATAAGCGAAGCAAGTCTATTGAAATCATCAAGATGGAACAACTATATATCAGCCTTACCTCGGCAACCTTATTCGCTTTTGTACTGGTCAGTTTTTTATTTATGGCCCAAGTAACTTTCTCTTTTGTATGCCGGGATTTATACTCAGTTCTTTCCCATATAGCCTCTCTCCTATCATTTCAGGACACGTGAAGAGCTAGATCGGTATCTGGAAGCATCAGAGATCAGAGAAAGGGCGATAGAAAGGATCACAAATGTTGTTGGAACGTAAGGCTATGTTTTCTCTGTACTTATTTTCTTATTAAATGTGGTTAATATGCTATTTAATGCTAGAACTTTCAATCAATATCCTCTACTGTACTAGTTCATCATGTCTGTAGTTCATTAAATTATCATTTTTCTTCTGTGATTTCTTGTGCAGATACAATGATTTAAGGGTCAGAATATTCTCTAAACATCCTGAATTATTTCCTGAAGAGGTATTGGGTTCTCCGTTCTTCAAGAAATTTGTTCTGTTATCATTCTTTGGTTCTGATTTTTATGCATCAGAACACATTCAACTTGATTTTATTTTTCAACTGCTATGAACTCATCTAAAACCTAAACGTGTTCCTCTTTTGGCTTCTGTATACAGTTTTTCTCACGTTCCCTTGGGCTTCGGTGTTCAAGAGTAAAACTAATGTCCAGCTTCATGTTTCTCTATAGAAGTTTTTTCTCTCTTGGGAAGTTGATCAACCAAAAAGATAATAGATTCTTGATCAAATCTAAGCACATTACAACACACTGCTTTTCTATTGAACCCAACCTTTAGTATGGGGGACCTACTTAGACATATAAGAATTATGAATAAGTCCATTCCCTATATACTTAAGAGAACATTGCAACTGGATAGTTCTGCTTGCCACACAATGCACATGAATTTGCCGGGGCATAAACGGTTAAGAAAACCTCAATTCTTGTTTACATGAAAAATGCTTGATAACTAGTTTCTTCCTGGATGTTTGATTTTCAGGTATTCAATATAGAAACTTTTAAGTGGTCATTTGGGATCCTTTTCTCTCGACTGGTAAGTCAAGTTGATTAAATACCATGTTGTGAAGTATTTGGCATTGTTAATATTTGGAGAAGAAGGTAAAAGATTGATTTACAAAATAATTTTTCCAATCATAGATAATAAGTTCACAGTCAATACTGTTAGCAGAAATAAATTTCATCTATTGAAACTGTAAATTAATTTTTATCTTCCCTGTCTCCTTTACATCTTCTATATACAGTTTTGTCTACTATAAATCTGGAAACAGGAGTTTGTTTACAATTCAAATGCTGAAAAGATAATATTTCTTTTAAGCCCAGGTTCGATTACCCTCGATGGCTGGAAAGGTTGCATTGGTTCCCTGGGCAGATATGCTGAATCATAACTGTGAGGTATGTTATATCGGTATAGTTGAAAGCTGTGATGCTAAAAAAAAATTCCTGCTAGAATTAAAATTTAACTGGTGCAACCATAATTGACTGGCCCAGGTGGAGACTTTCTTGGATTATGATAAAGCATCCCAAGGTGTTGTCTTTACAACAGATCGAGCATACCAACCAGGTGAGCAGGTAAAAGAACATTTAAATTTTCATCATGGATGAATCTTACTGAATAATGTAATACTGGAATGTCGTGGAAACTTGAATAGAAGTGGAAGTATTTCAAACTTGCTAATCGTACTGGACTTGGGTCTACGTTGAAGATATAATATAGCAACAATTCTAGAGTTGAAAGAAGGATCAGAAACTTTCTTTAACTTCTTACCTTCAAAGGAACTTTTCCCGGATATACCAAGCAAGTTAATCATAAAATTCTGATTATTTATGCATCTTGATTTAATCAATGATCATTGCAGGTGTTCATTTCATATGGCAAGAAATCTAATGGAGAGCTGTTGTTGTCATATGGCTTTGTTCCAAGGGAGGGAAGCAATCCTAGTGATTCTGTTGAATTGTTACTGTCACTAAAAAAATCTGATAAATGTTACAAGGAGAAGCTGGAAACACTGAAAAAGCATGGATTAAGAGCGTGAGTGTGAATAAATAGACGAGTTCACCATTTAGTTGGGATTGAATCTACCTTTCTTTCTCATGATAAAATATCTTATTACTTTATTTATCACGCCAGCTAAATTTCTCATGGCAGATCTCAGTGTTTTCCTATTCAAGTCACTGGTTGGACTTTAGAATTGAAGGCATTTGCTTACTTAGCTGTCAGTCCACCAAGTATGAGCAATCAATTTGAAGAGGTTGGATCGACAACTTCTTTTATATAGTCGTGTTCTTGATCTGCAATATCTGTCTCAACGTGTGTTTGTTTGTATTGGCTACCAGATGGCTGCTGCAGCATCAAACAAATCAACAGCAAAGAAGGATTTAAATTACCCCGATATAGAGGAGGAAGCACTGCAGTTCATATTGGATAGCTGTGAAACAAGCATATCAAAATATAACAAATTCTTGCAGGTAAAGGATAAAGAACATGTTGATTCTATTATTCCAGTGGAAATTACAACTCTAGCTGAAAAATGAACCTCTTGTGCTTGCCATGCTTACTTATAAGGGCTGAAGCAAAATCCATATTAAGTGTTGCTAGAGATGATTAATAGTGGGTTTTGAACAAAGGTAATTTTAAATATTTTTTCTACGAGTACTTTTGGTTAAAGCACTTGAAAGAATCTCTTAGTGTTTTTAAATTATTTTTAGAATTTTAACAACAGTGTGAAAATTTTGAAGAGTTTTTTAATGGGTGAAACACTCTTTACCCTTACAAAAGTCATCCCTCTAGCTTAATAGTGATAAAATAAAAGTAATTTCTCTACCCTCTATAGGCCTTTTTTTTTTTTAATATAAAATTATTATTGTTTCGATCTTGAATATATGGTTCTGTTTCTTATCAAAAAAGAGAAAAAAAAAGTGATAGATCATAGAAGGAGGTTTAGAAACATATGATGCAATTCTTGACTTATCTTGCAGGCAAGCGGATCCATGGATTTGGATGTGACATCGCCAAAACAACTGAACCGTAGAGTATTTTTGAAACAGCTAGCAGTAGACTTGTGCACTAGTGAACGAAGGATACTTTTCCGAAGCCAATATGTAAGTCCACATGATCTCCCGTGTCTGCAGCTTTCGAAGCTATATTAGATATATATCAGTTATGTCAGTGATATAAAAATAAGTTAAAAGCTCATGTAGGTATTATTAGTTAAATACATTTTGAAGGTTGAAAGCCTTTACGAATTTCTACAAAAAGAAGTTGATAGCATCATTAAGAATTCGGAGTATGGTTTTTGATATCTTGAGTACGGATGTTTTCAGATACTGAGAAGAAGATTGAGAGACTTAAGAAGTGGTGAATTGAGAGCTCTGAGACTGTTCAGAGGGTTTGGAAAACTTTTTAAATGATTGGTTTCGGTATAAAGCTCTCTCGACTGTAGAATGAACCGTGACGATGTAGAACGAGCATGCTTGTCATTGAAGTAACTCATGCTGAGCTTTCCCCACCATTGTTTCCAGCTTGAGAATTAAAGTGGCCAACCTATATAGCATCAAAGGTTCAAAAATGACCACCATGTTTAGGATGTTCAACAAAGTGAAATAGGCAAAAGATCTTCATTTTGTAAGTTCTATATCTTGTTGGATTAATCTCGAGTATCGTTGTCGAATTTATGTGATAAGATGGATTTGAGAAGCGAGTAGCTTTCGATTCAACGAAGTATTGATTTCATTTCGATGTATGGTTGCATTGTGATGTTATTGTAGCTGTTTTCTTCTATGGTTGGGAATGTATAACATATTTTCATAACTTCTCAGCTGGAGAACAACTCATAGTTGATGGATCTTTCCTCATGCCACTTGAGTACTGTCTTTCTGTTTTCATCTTTTGCAATGTTCTTAATATTTCAATAAATGTTCAAACACTTCTAAATAATTATTGTAGTTTCACCCGGCAGCTGGTACTAATTTTTAAGGCTCGTTACGTTCTTGTTTACTATTTTTTAATAAAGAAAAATATAATTACATTTAGTAACTATTTAGTGTTCTTTATTTTTTTCCATTGAAATAAGGAAGATACTTGATTTCGTTGGAACTGAGAACAAGAAACAAGAAACTTGTTTTTTTTTTTCAAAATTTTTATACAATTTTGAGAATATCTCAACAAAAAAGAAAAACAAGAGAGAAACAAGACATATAAAATAGTTGTCAAATATTTTAATTTTTTAATAAAACTGAAAACAAAAAACGAGAACGTTATCAAACCTAACATATTCTCATACATTTATTAGTTATTAGTCTCTTGTTGTCTCAAAATCTCTCGTGGGTTTTCCTTCATATACCCACTTGTTTCAATATTAGATTGAAATAAATCTCTCATGGGTTTTACTTCGTATACCCACTTGTTTCAATATTAGATTGAAATAAAGTTTGATGCATACCTAATTTTATTTAGGTTGAACGGCAAGCTAAAACACGCAATCGAAAAAATTTAAGGAACATCTTAACTAGTCTAATGAATTTCTTAATTGTGGTGCCCCTTCTTTCGATGGTTCCTTCTGTCATTTGTACTCCTGCTTTCTCTTCCTTAATCGTAGTTGGTCCTGCTTTCTCTTGTTGCTCAAGATGGTCGATTGCTATTGTCGGTTACCTATGCCTGTCCGCTTCTTGCTCGACCATCTATGAGCTATACTCGTCTCAATGAGTAGCTTAAACCAATAATATAAAAACTTTGGTAGTTGAGTATTGGCCATTCAACCAAAACAAAATGAAGTTACATTGCTAACAAGATTTCAGCAAGTTCTAGACTTCCAAAAATAAAAAAACAATAAAAGGTTGTGAAAACAAAATGGATGCTTTTTGTTGATTGGTTTTTTAAGACAAAAAAAAAAAAAAAACCAAACAAAATAAAACTTCTTTAAGTTTAGAAAATATCGAAGAATCTACTTTATTGTATTTAAGTATACTTTATGGTTAAATTATATTTGTTTTTTTTTTCTTAGTTTTAAAAGTTTAAATTTAATCCCTATCTTGGTCTAAATTAGATATCCCTAGCTAAAACTTGACTTTTATGGTCTAATTAAACCTCACCAGACATTAACCATCTTTTATCCACGTGAAAATATACATATTTTTTCCGTACTAAATCCTAATACAAAAATAGAAAATTATAACTTATCCATACGTAAATAAAAAAAATCACATTTTTATTAGATAAAATAAAGATTTTTGTGGTTTGACTAAATTGAAGCTCTTAAAATAATAAATACTCAATTAACATTAAGCTCAAACTACATACACTAAATTGAAACGATGTCCAATTGATTCATTTCACCAACGTGATTTAGTTTAATGACAATTAGTATATGTTTTTGACTAAAACGTCATGAGTTTAATTTCGATTTACTATAAAAAAGCGGATTAATTTCATAATTGAAAAAATTAGTTGTATATAAATAAAAGCAAACTTTTGAATTGTGCACGTAAGAATTTTATTTTCCACATAAAAAGAAAATTTTGGACCAATTCTAAAAACAGGGAAAATGGAGTTTTAAGTTACAACCTCAGGCTCCAAGTTCCAACAAAAAAACGCCCACATTATTTTTTTCCTTCTAAAATTTTAAATAATTTTTGATAATTTTGTTAATTTTGCTGTGCCTGTAACTCCCCCACAAATTGCCAATATCTATAAAACAAACTGCTTCTGAAAGCAGGGTTTCCAAACGAGCTCAAGTTGGACAACAATGGAGGGTCTGGCTTCTCTCAGAACTGTTCCCAAGGTTTCCTTTCAACCCATTTCGTCTTCTACTCGCAGGTCCAAGTTTCTTCCTAGAAGGCTGAATCTTGGCCCATTAATGGACGCGTCTTCGAGGAATTCTATCTCTGTTGCATCCCCTTCGTCTTCTTCTTCTTCTTCCATTTCTACTGCCATCCGAGCCCAGCAGGTTTCGAATTCTGAATTCCTTGTTCTTCCCGTTTGGATTTTGATTGTTGGGGTTCRGAAATTATCTGCTGTTCGTGCATTTGTAATTCCTTTTTTGTTCAATCTGCATTTTGCCCGTATGGGAAAGAAAGGTTGAATCATCCCTAATCGTGGAGGGTGGTGTCTAATTAATTTTTTAAAGTGTTCTGTAGGTTCTAAAATTGTGTTTAATAGTTAGCGGAACTTTAGAATTTTAAAAATATCTAAGACTGTTCTGAACTTTATATTGCATGTAAAAATATTTAAAAGGTCCCAACAACTYTAAAAAAGTATCTAATAAGTCAGGGATGTGGTAAACATATAATTGAAAGATCAAGCACCTACTGGACATAAAATTGTAAGTCTGAAAGTTTAGGACCAAAGTTATAATTTAACTATCTATATTTCTCATATTTTCATTCAAATCCTCGCTTGTTTGGCAGAATTGTTTCATAATGATGCATATTCTGTTTGTTTATTTAGATAGAATCCGAGGCTGGTTCAGCTGCGGCATCCCCAGTGACTGAATCCAAAGAAAATGCTCTGGAAGTCAAGGAGTGGGAAGTGGGGATGTTCCAAGATGAAGTAGCAGCTAGCCAAGGCATAAGAATTCGCCGGAGGCCACCCTCCGGACCGCCACTGCATTATGTTGGACCCTTTCAGTTCCGGTTGCAAAATGAAGGGAACACTCCTCGCAATATTTTGGAAGAGATCATATGGTACAAAGACAAGGAAGTTTCACAGGTGAAATTATATGGGACCTTTTATTGACCTGTATTCCCATACTTGAGGAAGTTGTCYGTTGGCTAATAGCCTTTTTGTTTTCTGAGTGCTTCCAGATGAAAGAAAGAAGGCCTCTCTCTCTGTTGAAGAAGGATCTTGAGAAGGCCCCTCCTGCTAGAGATTTCCTTGGAGCTCTTAAGGCTGCCTACCTTAGAACTAATCTGCCTGGTTTGATTGCTGAAGTAAAAAAGGCTTCTCCCAGCAGAGGAATTCTTAGGGAGGACTTTGATCCAGTAAGTCCAGTATCTGTTTGTTTTTTTGTTAGGTTGCATAAATCTTTTTTAATTCCACATAGTTTTGACACAGTAACTATAGCAAGTGGTCATGAGATGGCTCAAGTGATCAATGAGGAACAATGTAAATAGCGAAKGATTTAGAGGAAATGAGTTCAAACATGGTGGCCACCTACCTAAGATTTAGTATCCTACAAGTTACCTTGTCAACCAAATGTAGTAGGGTCAGGCGGTTGGCCCGTGATTAGTTGAGGTGCGCGCAAGTTGGCCCGGACACACGGGTTTAAAGAAAAAAAAACTATAGCAGAAAATTCCCTCTTAGTAGTACCGAAATTTGATTGCTACAACTGTAGAAAGCACTATATGTTTGTAAAACATATGAATATCATGTGTGCTGTTGCTTTGCACTAGTAAATCATTTGTAGAGGTGCCGATCAGATTTGGAGGAGGTTTGGTCTTTAGCTTAGTTCGACGCCTCTCCATACGTGTCGGTTTCTAAGGTTTTCTATAACCATCGTTTATACTTTATTTTTGTTGATTGGAACCCTTTCATCATCCATGACTACGGTTGCTTTTCTGTGCTATGCTGTTTATGGAAGGGATAAAAATATTGAAGATGTGCTATATGTTAATTGTCAAAGCCAAGTTTTTTAAACATGTTTTAGTAGGTCTTGGACTTGGAATGTAGGGATGAATAGACTGGATATAGAGTCCTACCTAATTAAGTAGCGATAAGATGCATTTTACCTGGTCCGTTAAGTGCATCATACAGGCATCCACCACAGTGTGCGTGCCTAAAACTTCAGCTATAAAACAAAACTATGAAATTCAAGCCTTTTATTAGTAAAACTAAAGATTCAAGTACTTGTTAAGAGTCTAGCATTCAAGTACTCTGAAACAATCAATTTGTTTTCATTTAATGTAAACCTGATACATGATAATAGGTTGAAATTGCCCAAGCGTATGAGAAAGGTGGAGCAGCATGCCTTAGCGTTCTTACCGACGAGAAGTTTTTTCAGGTGAAGAGCATTTCTGGAGCCACGTCGTTTCTTCACAATGTCTTTTGACTTTGGGTTCATTTTCTTTCGGTATGTTCGGATGTTAGGATCATTCGCTAAGTTTTATCTCTATTGTTTTTGGGGATTAGGGAAGCTTTGAGAATCTGGAGAAGATAAGGAATGCTGGAGTGAAGGTTTGTTTACATTTAATCATAATTTTACATATTGGTATGTGAAATATATTTCTAAACTAGGAAACATATGCAGTGCCCTCTCTTGTGCAAGGAGTTCGTGGTTGATGCATGGCAGATCTACTATGCCCGATCTAAAGGTGCCGATGCCATTCTTTTGATCGCTGCTGTTTTGCCTGATCTCGACATCAAGTACATGGCTAAAATCTGCAAGATGGTCGGTTTGACACCACTCGTCGAGGTCGGTGTACACATATCATTATGCACTATAACTTATAAAAGTCTCCTTATTTGCACATATCAGATGTTGCTTACCATTATTGTACAATGTTAAAAGAAGCTATACCATTTTTTTGACCTTTAGACTTTAACTTTATCGGCAGGTTCACGATGAGAAGGAAATGGATCGGATGCTTGCAATTGAAGGCATTGAGCTTATTGGCATCAACAATCGGAATCTTGGTAATGGTTAATAACTTTTGTTATTGAAACTTTTTGCTCGAAACTTAAGGTCATCCACTGAAAATATATCATATACTGAACTGCATTTCTACTCTTTTCTAGTTCCAACATTGGTATGTTTTAGGACATCTTATTCCATATGGTTGAAGGACCATAGCATTAGTGTAGTTTCAGTCTCTCAAAACCGRATTCAACAAAAACGGTTACACTGATTAAATTATTCAATCAGTAGTTGTTTTGAGGAGCTAGAACAAGCGAATGGTTTTTATATTGTCTCTATCCCTCAAACAAACTAATGACCAATAATGTTATTTAGCATATGCTTGTAAGCCTCATATCGGTAGCACTGCATCTGAATCATTCGAAGCTAAGTATTTGAATGCAGGACAGTAGAACTTAATATATTGAGCAAATATACCGTGCTTATATACGCGTGTAAAACAATAACTTGCAGAAACATTCGAGGTCGATATCAGCAACACAAAAAAGCTTCTTGAAGGAGAGTGCGGGCAGAAGATCTGCGAAAAGAACATAACAGTAAGTATCAAGTGGGATGGTTCTGCTGCCGATTCGTCTGTCTTTTTTCTTATATATAATGAAAAACACTTACAAACTTCCTCCTCATCTGATATTCACTTCTTGTGAGGAGAAATTGTTCAGATAGTGGGAGAATCTGGGCTGTTCACTCCTGATGATATTGCTTATGTTCAAGAAGCTGGTGTTAAAGCTGTAAGCTCTCCATATTTTACACATTAATATATTATTTAATAAGATCCATACTATTCTTAAATGCTGCTTTAATGGCCAACGATAAACGGAAGCCATACAACAGTAGTATCAGAAAATTTCCCTTCATATTTGGATTCATGGATGCCATTGTTACATGAAATTTGAGAATGTGAGGCTCTGTGATATTGGTTTTTGCAGGTTTTGGTTGGGGAGTCGATTGTGAAGCAGAGCGACCCGTSGAAGGGAATAACAGAACTTTTTGGTAAAGATATTTCGGTTTGAGCCATTAGAAACTTGGAAGCGTTGTATTCTTAATATGTTGTTATAGCCATGAGGCTCTAATCTTACTTATGGTATTGGATTGTAAGTGATTAGATAGAGCTTGGATAAGGATAATACTGCTTCCAAAATTGGAAAATAAAGCATAAGTTACATATTTTATAGAACAAATGTGGTAGCGGAGGATTTCTTGTTCTCTCTCTCTGATTGATTGGTTTTTTATTCATATGTTCTCTCTCTCTGATTGATTGGTTTTTTATTCATATAGATCGTAAGTGTTTCGTGTGAATGTAAAAATATAATTTATTTCCTGCATCGGACTATTTTGATCCTGAAATTTYGACTTTGTACTGTCAAAACGTTCATCTCGGTTTCTGGACTTTTAACTTTAATTTATTTTAGTTTCAGTAGTTCCAAAATGTTTATTTCGATCTCTGTACTTTAAAAAAAAGTTATTATTTTAATCGCTTTTTGTAAAATTCTAATACAAATTTTCTATTTAATACAAATTTATGGTTATATTTTAAGAAATTTTGTAGGTAAAGTGTCATGTTAAAATTGTGATAGATAAAAGCTGAAAACGAAAAGATAAAAATGGTAATCAAAGTGAACCAAAACGAAAATATTATTTAATCTTGATTTGGTTTTTTGATTTAAATCTTCACTTTTACATTTTTTTAATACAAGTTTCAAACATAATGCGCGAAAATAGTAGTACCTTAATCAATGCCTAACTTTCAAATTTTAATTACCCATCTTTTTAATTTAATATTCCATGTGGGATTGTCTACTTCTCCTTCTCACATGCATCTCATTCAATTCGACTTAAAATTTAAAACTTTGAACAACATAATTAGATATATTTAAAAGTTTATGGATCAAAATATAATGTAATCATGAAATTAAAATAAAACATAATAATGTATATAATATTAAAAAGCAACAATTTTTTTTTCTAAAAAAAAGCAATATATATATATATATATATATATATATTTTTACTATTATATGTGCCTTTATTTATTTCTAAATTTAACAAGCATGCTTGCAATTAATAATTACTATAAGTAGTCTCCTTTTAGTTTTTTTCTTTCTCCCTTTGTTTAATTCCCTTAAAATTTCAAGGTTTAGATGGTAGAACATAATGGCCTAGAATACCAAATTCTAAAGTTTTAGGAATAAAAAATAGTAATTAATTATTAATTAAATCACTTTTACTCATTATTATTTATGTTAAATTACAAGTTTAATCCCTAAATTTTTATAATTACGTTTAATATGTCCTAAACGTATCTAGTACATTCACTGCCTTCCTTTTTCTTTTTCTTTTTTTGTCTAATAGGTACCAATATTCACGCTATGATTTTACTTTATAAATATTTTGTGAAAAATTTATGAACCTATTAAGGACTAAACGAGAAAATTTATAGTATTGGGGTTTAGTTTTATACCCATCCACGTGTTCACAATGTGATTGTGCCTTTATAAATATTTCTTTAATACTAGCATCTCCCATATCATTTTTAAACGCCAGCGTGTTGATCAATGAATGAGAGTTATAATCATAYTCTAAATTTCTCTAGAGACTAAACTTATAATTTAACTTTAACTAAGGTTTCGAGAACTATTGATGGAAATGTCGATATCGATGAATATTTATAAAAATGTTATAAAAATAAAAAATTCGTAAAAAATATTTAAATTAACAAATAAACATTTCACTATGCTGAATAAATTAAAGATGATTAAATTAAAATTATTTTTAACAATATTTTTCATATTTTATCGATTTTTTAAAAATAGTATAGAAATATTGATTTATGGAAGATACATAAATATTTACGTGTCGATGGAAATTTAATACTCTCACCTTAACTAAATCATTCTACTAATTACTATAAAATCCATGGCGCGTGTATCCATATTCACATCGATTTATTAGTATATATTATATCCACTAAAAAAAATCTCATAAATTAACCGTATTTAAAAGTGGCGTGGGGTCCATAGAATAAAATAATTATTTATTAGGGATAAAATATTCCATGTATATAATTGGGGCTTGAAAAAAGCGGTTGATTGATCGATCGGAGAAACGCGATCGTTTTGCGCTGTACTCTTTCTCTCTCACTTTCTCCGGCGATGTGCTCGGCCGGAGCCGATGCAATCTCCTGCAGCATTGAGTTCCGATGCCTGGACGACGACGCCTGGTACAATGTCGCCGTGAAACTCGAAGGCGATGCTCTTCGAATCATGTACTGCGGGTTCGCGGTGGAGCACGACAATGTCTTCAGCGCCAATGATTTCCGGAGCTTATCGGACTTGAGCGACTTCGAAGCTAGGTTTCGGCCTCTGTCCAGGCAGTTGCAGGACTGTGAGTGCCGGAAGGTGGACCCTGGCATGGCCGTCTGCGCTTCCTACTCCTCCCGAATCGATGATGTTCGGTTCTACGACGCGCTTGTGGAAGGGGTTGGTTCTTCTTACTTTTCGCTCTCGCACTGTTTGAATCTGAGTTAACCGCTGAATAGCCATGTTATTCTCTGTTTCGATTTTATTTTTGGAAATTTTAGCCTCTCTGTTCTTTAAATGCTCTGCTGTTTTCGGCAATGGACCTTTATGTGGAAACATACTCTGCAATTTTTCCTGCCTTACCATTTTAGGGATCTTAGACGGTCTAAAACTGGTCTATATTGTGGCTCGAGTTTTGAAAGCTTCTCCATCATGTTTCGATGCATGCAGAATTTATTGCCATAATGCCATTTACTCTTCTTGAAATGAGCCTTTTGCACTAATGTGGTTGAAACGTAGCTTTTCCTTTATTTTCTATATGAATTCGCAACTTCAGGTTTTTGTTCCTTTTTTTTTTTCCATGTTTAATCAATGATATCTATCTATTCTTGAGTTGGATATATGAAGCATTCACTCTAAACTCGAAGAATGTCATGCTTTTCACATGAGTAGAGTACGCGTATTTATTGCACATTTTTGGCATTTTAGGGTCCGTTTTCTGTTTTTTTAATTTGTTTTTAAATAAAGAAAAATAGAATTGCACCGAACAATATTTATATTTATGTTTTGTAACAAATTGAAAATGGAAACAAAAACAAGAAACTTGTTTTGACTGTTTCCAAAATTTCTATACAATTTTGATAATGTTTTCAAAAGATAAGAAACAATAAACATAATTAGTTGCAAAAATGCTTAGCTTTTTTAGTAAAATTGGAAACGAGAAACATGAAACAAGAACGTTATCAAACGGGCCCTTAATGGTATGATGAAATATGAATGGGGATAAACAACTCTTAGAAATATTAGGAAAATGTATATCAAATAAAAAAATATTAGTAAGCACTCATGCCCCTTCTGTGGATGTAGGTTACCAATATGTTTTTGGATGTCACTAATAATGATGGATCGGAATTTTTTTATACTATGGGCTTTTGTTTTATTTTTGGGCATAAAGTGATAAGACTCATAACTATATGGGCGTGATTGAATTTAATTTTTGTGCATGTTGTAATTGTCGATCCCGGAATATATTATTGATGAGAAACATAATATTGGATTTTTGAAGAATGATATATTAGAAATTCCAAAACTCATTTATTCAACTAGAAACCTTGGCATTTTCATTTTTTTTTTCATGACTCGTGCATTGGTAGGTGGATTATCTTGAACACTCTTATGCAAATGGAGAAGAAGAATGCTTATGCAACTTTATCCTTTTCTGGCAGCATGGTCCAAAACATGGGAATCTGACAATTGCCAGTATTGCTGACATGTGTCAAATTCAAGCTGGTAAAATTAATGACACAGTGTTACCAACCTTCTTCAAGAGAGTTAGGGAGAAAATCCAAGCCAGAATGAATAAAGGTGATTCTTGTCAGAAAGATGACTGCAGTCCAAATTTGAAGCCCAAGCTCTCCTTTTTTCAACGCATGGACCAGGTGAATCGTCTTTCTAGAGCTCAAGCTGTTACCAAGCTATAAGTCATTACGTTCCAACTTCCATTTACATTTCTTGTGTTCTTATTAATATTAGTATTTGATGGCTCCATCCATTTGTAGGAAACACGACGTGCCAAGCGTTCTTGTGGTACAGTAGAACCATGTAAAGGTATGTTATGTTATTCAGGGAATGAACCTAATCTCTCAGTTATCCAATTGAGAATTTCCATCCTAATCACATGCCATTTAATTTTTTTTTTTAGTCACTGGTTTGTTACCTCATGGAACTGTTTTTATTCCATAGATCTACAGATTCTCAGTCCCAGAAAAGGTGAGGCAATCGAGCAAGATACTGATTTTGGTGGAATGAAACATCAGTACATGATTTTACTTGAGAATCTAGATAAAGGATTGTCTCCGGTAAAACTAGCCAAATTCTTACATGGACAGACATCCATATTACCTCGAGTATACATATTCCCGACTTTATCAGATGAGTCGTATGCAAGGGGAGCTGTTGTATTGAATTGCGGAAAGAACCTAGATAGGTTGTGTGGTTTTTTGGATAATCCGCATCATGTCATTGTATCCTCCCAAGGAAGGTAAACTTTTTCATTAAATGAATTTCACCAACTTGTTTGTATAATTATATTTCTTCTAATATATTATAAATCATCAAACATTTATACTAAATGTGCAGTCCACTCTCTCTCTCTTTGGCTTTTCTACCGACCGTCTTGGATAGATCATATAATTGTATCTAAGAAAATATCTTAGGTGCTCCCAGTTAACAAACTAGAAAAAAAATTAAATTGGTACTAAAAATCCACTATTGGTGAGATTTGTTTCCCATTCATTTTCTGCAGGCCCTTGGTTGTAACTGGGAAAGTGGCGAGGCTCGATACTTTTGGAACATTGGCAGGGGCCATGGTGCTAGACATTGATGTAAGTTCTTATTTACTCTGTTTGGACGTTTTTGTAGTAACATGAGTGCAACTATTGATTGTATAGTTACATCATGCGATTGCCTAGTGGTCAACAAAGGCCATTGTAAATAGCAAAGGGCTTAGAGGGAATGAGTTCGTGTGGTAGAAACCTACCTAGGATTTAATATCCTACGAGTTACCTTGTCAACTAAATGTAGTAGGATCAGACAGTTGGCCCGTGATTAGTCGAGGTATGCGCAAGCTAGTCCGAACACACGGATATAAAAAGAAAAAAAAAAGTCTAGATTCTAGAATCTTTATATCATTGCTATGCTACTACTATATATCTCTCATAAAAATTATAGATGACATGACAATCCAGAATTGATATTGAACGGGGGTGATACAATGATCTAGATTAGGAAGTAATGTAGGAATTTTAACTTGGTATCATCAAACTTTACTGCTGATGGCTGCTGTTGTTCATCTTGACTGGCTGCAGAATAAACTTTGTAACGAAAATGATGGCGGTGTTGGTGTCAGTGTGTGTAGCGAGCTGAAGGTAGTGAGTGTAGGAACAATCGATTATTCGATTGCGAAGCAAAGGAAGGAGTTGTTTAGGGAGTTTCTTAGCCATCAGAGGAGATTGCATCAAAGATTGGCCCTGGAGGAGAGCAAGATATATTGCAGTGCTCCTTTGCAGTATAAACTGTAAATCAATCATAGGTTGAAAAGAAATTAAAAGTTTTTACTTTGAGGCTGTAAATTTTACATTGTAAATGTGGTGTAGGCTGTAGAAACCACTAACTTTCCATCCTTGTATAGGCCTTCCCCTAGGTCATCTTTTGTGGGGTTGACTGTATTTGCCTCATGAATTAGGTTAATGAATTTGACTCACTTCTAGTGTGGCGCACGCAAGTTGGTTCGGACACTCATGGATATTATAAAGATAAAGAAAAATTTGACTCATTTTTTAGATTTTTCTATACTCATTATGTACTACTATTTTTTTTTTCTTCTTGGAATAATGGAGATGAGTTCTAATTTCATCTTTAAAGTAAGATATCTTTATTCACGTTGAAATATACGACTTTATTATTGTTACCAATGAAGTAAAGTAAGACAAAGAATACGGATTGAACGATCAAACTCCAACAAGCAAAGTTGACAGCAAAGTCTGAATATCAAGTAGTCGCATGAGAACTTAGAGATTTAGACTTAAGAAGTGAATCTAGCCCAAGGACCAAGTATCATAGGACAATTGGTTGGCTCGACCGATTACAAGGCCAACCCTTCATCAGTGGGTCAGCTCGACCAATTTCACTTGGTTGGTGTCACGGGAGAAGATCCTAATATTTAAGGAATTTTTGGAGGGTGCATTTCATTGGTGATTTGAGCTTTGAAAATAGAAATATGAAAAATAATGAATTCAATAAAAAGAGGAAAAGTTGTATTTAAATGGCCATCTATTGTTTTCAAATTTGTTTGTAGCAGCAGAAATTGAGTCTTAATTTTAAAAATTGTTTTAATTTAATAATATATTTGTAAACTAAAATAATTTCCAATTAAATATTTGATTTAATCTAAAATAATATTAATTAATTAATTAATATATATTAAAATTTTGTATAATTATTATTTTAGGATATTATATAATTTATAATATATTGTATGTTACATTTTTTCAATTCAAATACAAATGACCTCATTTTGTATCATGAAAGAGTATATTTATCAAAGATTTTATCCTTTTAAAGATAATTCTTTCGAATTCAAGATCTGAAAATACTAGGGCTGATCATTGGTCGGTTGGGCTGACCCCGACGCTGAAACCCACCATGTCGGTTTCACTTTGCAGCTTGGCGTCGATCGACCGATCGGTTTAACCGACATTCTATTTTTTTGTTTTTTTTTTTTTTGTCGTTGAGAGTGAGACGTGAGAGAGCACGGGGGGCTGAGGGGCGGAAACGAGGAGAACGGGCCAATGGGGGGCGATTGGACAACGACGAGGAAGAGGGAGAACAGAAGGGGGTGGTGGGCGGTATGGCAACAAGACAGGGAGGGACAGAGAGTGAAAGTGAGACGTGAGAGAGTGAGAGAGCATCGAAGTGCTGAGGCAATCCTAGCCCTCAGTTTAATTGTTTTTTTTAATAACTAAAAAAAATATAAAACATATTACTTATATTGTCGGTCGGTCGGTATTGCCTGGGCCAAGGCCACCGATCGACCGACCGAGTCAGTTCTGAATTTCCAGAACTGACGCCTGCCTCTTTTCGGTCTATTTCGACCGCCCTAGAAAATACTAAAAACATAAATATTGCTTTTAAAATTTTCATCAAATTGCCTACCAAACAGACCTTAAAAGAATTCAAAAAAGGAGATATCTTACTACTGGTAGGTTTTTTCCGGGTAAAAACTCATACTGAAATACTCCTGCATAGTGTGTGGCTAGTACAAAAATTCAAATCATCCAAATTTGTGCATCTAACAATTTTTTTTTTTTACTACTATTCTAAAATTGATACGTCAATACTCGGGAAAAAAAAAAAAAATTCACGAGTGACGAGTTAAAAAAACTGAAGAGAGAGAAAGGAAACCTTTGTACACTCTCTGGTTTCTCATTGGTCAAAGTCTCGTCATCAGTCCAATAAGGAACCGACACGTCGTAGGCCGACATCGTATTGTATCGCAGAGAGTAGAAACTAGAAAGTTAACATTTTGAACTTTTTTTTTGGTTTTCCTTTAATTTTTGATTTGGGACCTTGTTCGAAAACTCCCAACTGCGCCACCGCGCGTTTTGACCCCTGATTTCCGATCTCAGATCAAATCCCTTTTAACTTATTACAATTCTCAGAATCCCTCTTCCCCAATTGGCGGCAAGTGTTTGTTCGTCCCCTGATTCCTTTGATTTTGGAGGTAATTTACTCGCCCTCTCGTTCCTTCTTGTTGAGATTTGATTTCTTCGTTTTGGGTTTGTGATTCTTGTTGTTTCCCGCATGGGGTCTGGATTTTTGAAGAAATGGAGCGATGGGCTATGATGATGGCGTTTGCGGGGGTGTTTCTATTGAGCATGAGAAGATCAGAAGGGATTAGGTTTGTAATAGACAGGGAAGAATGTTTCTCTCACAATGTTCAGTACGATGGAGATACTGTTCATGTTTCTTTCGTCGTAATTAAGGCTGATTCCCCCTGGCACTACGGCGATGATGGAGTCGATCTTGTGGTATCTCTCCATCCCACCAATTTCACTTATTTTTGTTGTTTGTCCTTCATTGAAACTGGGAACTAAAGATATGGTGTTCATATGTGTGTGTGTGTATATTTATCTGTTTCAAAAAGATGGTTCTTCTTGGAGAGGAGCGAAGAAGGAAGCAGCGGGGCAATGGCTCTTCTTGGTTCATCTTAGATTAAAAAATTATATTAGAAGTTAAAGGTTAGAAATTAATTCCCATGTATTTTCCGGCACCTAATATTGTAGAGTCTGACAGCTGGCCCGTGAGATTAGTCGAGGTGCGTGCAAGTTGGTCCGGGCACTCACGAAAAAAGAATAAATAATAGAAGTTAAGGTTTTTAAGGTCTTCTCTCTAATTTTCCTTGTATAGGGAATGTTTGAAGGTAAAACTTTGCCTGCTGTCTGTGAAAATTTTTGGCTTCGCCCCTGATAACACTAAAACTAGAATGTGCAGAGATTTTCTTTAGTTGTTATTTTTACTAAAACTAGAATGGATAGGTACTTATCTTAGTATAAGAGGTGGTTAGTTCATAATTTATTTATTTTTGGAGATGCTCTGATTTGGATGGAGAGACCTAAATGATAAAAGTTACACCTCTGGTGGCTTTGCTAAATAAATCATACTGAGAGGTCTGTAGAAACTCCTTTTGAAGTTAGTTATTTACCAAATTAGTTATACTCAAAGAGTATGTAGACGTTTTGGCCTCTTTATTGCCGTGATTGGAGGTATTGGGCAGCTCCTGGCAATTTGGATTGTACATCAGATTATATTTCTGATACATTGTTTGAAACCATCGCGAAAGAAAACTAAGGTTATAAGATAGAAACATAACGAACTAGAAAATCTTTTGAGAGACTATTAGAATATCTATCAGAATGGGTTGTTATATTATACATGGTCCTCTTTCATCCCCTTAGAATCTTTAATCGTAGTCATTCCTGTGCTACACGATCAAGAAGCCTTTCCCTATGCGCCGAAGTTGAGTCTGTTATCTTATTTTCTAAACGAACTAGCAGTATGATGCTGTATAGAGGCTATATCGGTGTTTAAAGCCAGTAAAATGCATAAAATTTTTTAAGTACCTGAAGAACATAATGATCAACATGGAAAGTACTTTTTTTTTTCCCGGATTTGTGCTTCTTATGGAGTTCTTGTATAGGATTTGATTTGAGATCCTTCTGTTATATTGCTCTTGCCTGTAGGATTTGTTGTTTATCCCATAGTTTTTTGTTTGATGTCTAGATAAAGGGTCCCTCTGGTGAACATCTTCATGATTTCCGCGACAAGACTAGTGAAAAGCATGAATTTGTTGCTCACAACAAAGGGATTCACCGATTCTGCTTCACGAACAAGTCTCCATATCACGAAACAATAGACTTCGATGTGCACGTCGGTCACTTTTCGTACCACGAGCAGCATGCAAAAGATGGTGAGATAGCCATTCCCTGTTTTGTTATGTACTGACTTTCTTCCATAAGTTGAAACTCAATGTCAAAACTTGTGCATATGCCTGCAGAGCATTTCAACCCTTTGCTGGATCAAATATCTAAGTTGGAGGAAGCTCTTTACAATATCCAGTTTGAGCAGCATTGGTTAGAGGCTCAGACCGACCGCCAGGCAATAGGTAATGTTGACAAACATGTCTCAGACTTAAATAATTTCCGCTATATTAGCTAAGCAATTTAATTTCTTCGTCGATGTGTTTCCTTGTCAAGCGGGCTTCCAAGTATAAACACATTAGGTTTGTTTTCTAAACTTTTCTTAAAATCTAAGTCAAATTTTGAAGACTAAAGAATTAACTTTTAAAAACTTGTTTTTGTTTTTAATTATTGGTTGAGAACTCAAACCTTTCTAAAAAAAGGTGAAAAATATACCAAATTAATTGTGAGGAAACAAGCATTATTTATAAAAATAAAAATAAAAAACGATTAGTTATCAAGGGGGAGTTAGTTAAATAATCTCTCTAAAAAAGGTTTTTAGGGATTATTTATGCACCAATGATCATCATAGTAGCTGTCTTCTTCATCTTTGTTGCTGTGACCCTATTAGAATTAGGTGCATAATGGCATTTTCTGGATATTTGACTACACAATACACATGCATGTGTAAGAGAATGATTTTGGTGGACATTGAACAATAGGTAGAATAACGGATGAACGCCATACAAATTCTTTTCCGAGCATAGCTTTATCGAACAGGTTCAAAGGAAAACATGCATTAGAACATTCCTAGCTTAGAGCATGGTTACTCTCGTCGCAGAAGTTGAGTTATGAAGACTTTTCGGATAAAGATTAAGAGTAACAACTTGCATTAGAACTTCCAACAAATAGAAGCTGCACTTAATTTGGAGGTGTAGTTCATAGGTTGATTTGGGTTAAAGAGATATTCTAGACTCAACCCAGTTGTTCAAGTTGCATATTTGTCCAATCGAAAGATTGAAAACCAACCTAGCCTACTTTTACGATTTGGATTGAGTTGATCGAGTTTGTTGAACCGTCTTAGCTTAGTCCATGGCAGATGGGCGTTAAAGGTAGGTAGGTAGGTATTTGACACTAAACCTCCTTAATGAGAAACTTGGTACGGTTTTACGGTCATATCTCGATTCTGGTTATCTTAAGAGCATTGCGACGATTGAGAAACCCGTGATAGATTGTGGTAATATGTGTTTGATTGCAGTGAATGATGGAATGAGCAGAAGGGCAATCCACAAGGCAATGTTTGAATCAGCAGCACTGGTAGGGGCCAGTGTCCTCCAAGTCTACTTGCTGCAACGCTTGTTTGAAAGGAAACTTGGGACTTCCAGAGTTTAGTGCCATTACAACAACCAAACTTCTCTTCCCTTTTCACTTATTCTCAGCATATTTTCCTATTTATGGTTTTATTTATCATTGTGTATCTTTTTTTCCCCCACACAACATAATATGCTAATTGGGTTTAATATAAAAGTTTTCTTACTCTCTTCTTGTCTTGCTTACTTTTTGATTTCATTGTTCCATAATTTGAGAAAAAAGCCAGGAATATAATATTTTTAAATCTGATAACGTCTGACTTGAGCAGGTCTCAACGGTTTTTTATTCATCTATGACTCAATTTATATTTTATTTATACATATTGCTATTTTCTTTTCAACCCTCCTCTCTCTCTTGATAAGTTGTGATTTTCTCTGAAAGAAATTGGGATGAGCTGAATTGGGAGCAAAGTTTCAAATGTCGATGCCGATAGGAGTTTTGAGGTTTCAATTTCATGATATGCTGATGTCGATCAAGGTTTCAATTTCATGGTATGTTGATGTTGATAGTAGTATCAAGGTTACAATTTCATAAAAATATTGTTGATGTAGAATGTTATAAAAATACAAATTCATAAAAAAAAATTTAATTAATACATAAGCATTTTAACCTTTTTAAATAAGTTAAAAATGATTAATATTAATATTATGTTTATATTACTAATATTTTGTTGATATTTTTTATATTTTATTGATTTTTCTCCAATATTATAGAAATATGATGTTATAGATTTCAATAAAAATTGAAATGAGCTTCTTTTAACTTATGATTCGAATATTCTTCATCTTTTGAAAGAATCCTCTCTTACATCTTGAGAGAGAGAGATACCATATGAAATTTTTTTATGCTTGGTATTCTCTCACTTTATTTTTATGGGGATCATAGGATTAATTATCATAAATGCACAAGTAAAATTGCAAATCCCATCATTTTTTTCGACCACAATAGTCTATTAAATAAATTGAAGAAACAAAAAAGCAGTAGCCAAAAGACATACTATTCACACATTTCCTGTATGTATAAGTTTAAATCGGGCCATAGAGTAGAGCATAAACCTAAAAGAATTGAAGAAGACCATTCGATTCGATAACAAAAAAAAAATGACATAGCAATTTAAAATTTGATCTCAATGAAACAATACAATAAATTCAGAACTTTAACATAATTATAATTGCTTTTTCATTTTTTTTTTAAGGAAATTTGAATATGTAACAACATATCAAAAAACATATTAAAAAGAAATCTCCACTATGAGATTTGTGGATCTCAGCACATGTAAATGAACCAAAATACAGTCATAGTTTATACTGAAAAAGAAAAGATAAATATGAGGAAAAATCTAAATATGGTTTGAAAATAATCTCAAATATAGGGAATTGTAAAAAGTGAAATAATGCAAAATGGTAAACATGAATTACACTCAAACAAAGTACACTACATTTTAGCCTTATTAGATATGAACCCAAAATGAAACACAAACATTGCACAAATTCATATTATTCTCATTATAGAAAAGAAAACCAACACATCTTGACTGCCTCTGCCTCACTTAACATAAGCTTTGTCAAATTAACCAAAAAAAGAAAAAAAGAAAAAAAAAAGACCTCTACTTTTCCAGATCCCCAAGGCTACCATCATCTACCAACCTGACTGACCCGACGCGTTATCTTATCGCCTTTCTTCAACGTAGAACAGGCTTCACACAAGCTCCAACACAAGAGCAGATGCACCACCTCCACCATTGCAAACGCCTCCAACTCCATATTTCCCACCTTTCTGCTTTAGTACCTATAATAAGATTATAATGTTTGTTATTCATGGATCTCATCTACTTTTATAGACAAAGCAGAGACTTTAGATGAATTACCCCCAAAAGTGTGACCAAAATACGAGCCCCGCTGCAACCTAGAGGATGTCCCAATGACACGGCTCCACCGTGTACGTTAACTTTTTCCTGTAAGGAATTTGGAACAATGATAGGATGAGAACTACAAGGTAGAAAGAAGGGCCTGGAAATATCTGCCTATGTCCAAAAAAGGTGTTGTGCCAATGGCATAAACATGGGAGAGAGTACTCACAGGAGAGATTCCAAGCAATTTCTGATTCGCAAGAGCCACAACCTACAGAAATCGTTTAAATAGAATATATAAGCATTTGGCCATCAGAAGTTTCGGAAACTGATTACTTGAACCTTGTCACTAAAATCTTACAGCAAATGCTTCATTTATTTCGTAGAATTCAATTTGGGAAGCTTCTAAGCCAGCACGAGAAATAGCCTTTGGAACTGCAAGCGCTGGTGCAGTTGTGAAAAATTCTGGTTCCTGCAAATTAATCTCTCATATTATTAGAACAAAGTGTTTTTTAGTATCGAAGATGTGATGAATGAATGATGCTTCAGCTGAATCCAGAAAGCAATTATTGCAAGTAACAAAAGAATCTAGAATTACATGAGCAGCATCAGCATATCCTTTAATTTTTGCAATCACTTCTAGTCCGAGTTCCAATGCCTTCTTTCCACTCACTAGAACTATGGCAGCCGCACCATCACTGTCATTTAGAAAATTTCAACTTTCAATATAAGTTCAATTGATCGTCTGCTACAACTTATCCATATAAAGGCAGGTAATAAAGCTTGATAAATTTCTATTAACTTCTCAAATACGTGACCAAGAAAAGTTTTTCTTCACCTTATGCTCGAAGCATTGCCTGCAGTTACGGTACCCCCATTATCCTTAAAACTTGGTCGAAGCTTCCTCAACTTGGCAGGGTCAAACTGGCACCACGTATAACATTTTAAAAAAGAATGAGAAAGAAGCAAGTACATGCGTAATCTCTGACTAAATTTCTTTTTTCAAGAGAAATTAATAACAGCTTGCAAAAGAATCCTAAAACAATTTCCGTTGCATCCTGACACCTTTATCTTGTACAAGTGATTGAACAGATTTTATATATTTGTACGAGTGTATGTTTGAAAATTGTACACGGTGCACGGTGCAGACAACTCTAAAGAACAGTAAAACCTACATAAATGGATGATAGGTGAATACCTTTCCAAGGCCCTCATCCGAATTGACAATAGTTGATGGTTTTCCCCTCCCTCCGGAAACTTCAACCTGCAAGTTTAGATAGACGTAAGACTTGTAATTTTCAACCAGAGAATTAGCTATGCAGTGGTATGGAGGGATATCCAACCGGAACAATTTCCCATTCAAAGGCACCGCTGTCCTTGGCAGCAATACCTCGCTCAAAGCTCTGGACAGCGAAGTCATCCTGCATGAAATCCAGAGGTGAGAAAAATTTACAAAATAGAACAAAAAAATCACAAACTCAAAATGCATTACAATCAATACCTGAGCCTCCCTTGTAATTTGATATTTGTCTGCACATAACTCCGCACAAGTTCCCATGCCAGAGTTTGTATAGACATCCCATAAGCCATCTTTCAGCATTCCATCAACAAGAGAATCATGTCCAAGTCGAGATCCCTTCCTACAAATTAGCATGAATATAAGTTAAATTATGCTTAGTGCTCAGGCCACCGAGAATAATAAGAGAGACAGAATAGAAAAGCAACCTTGCTTCTGCAAGGTACTTCGGTGCATTTGACATGCTTTCCATCCCACCAGAAACTACTACATCATTAATGCCTAACTGGATACTCTGTGCTGCCAGCATAGTTGCTGAAATAATCAAAATAAAAACCGTCGTCAGAATACTAAAATATCATTTTATATTAGAAAACTGTAGGGCAGGGCGAAGGAAAATATTTGAATGACGAGTGTGAACCTTTCATCCCTGACGCACAAACTTTGTTGACAGTAGTACAGACGACTGAATTAGGTATTCCTGCACCTAATGCAGCTTGTCTAGCAGGAGCCTGCCCCAAATTTGCACTCAGAACATTGCCAAAGATGACTTCTTGGACAAGCGAAGGATCAATTTTCGCTCTTTTAAGTGCAGCTATAAGTCAAAAAATATATATACTTCATCATTGGTCAATTCCATTTGCATAATAGGAGAGGAAAAAGGTTGGTTCCACGCTTACCTTCAATTGCTATAGATCCCAGCTTGGTGGCTGATAAAGATGATAAGCTACCAAGAAATCCACCCATTGGTGTGCGTGCAACACCAACTATGCAAACATCTATACAACCAAATGTCGAATGTTTAAAAAGAGAGGAAAAAACAAACCCATCACAGAAATACAATAATAATGGTTGTTTGACTTCAATTTAACCTCTAAAGTACATATCATTAAAGCACTGATGACATAAGTTAAAGTGCTAGGCTTTGATTAAACTTTTTCATTAGACAGTAAGTGAAGTACCTCTCGGATTTATAGAGTCTGTTGATGCTGCTGCTGCGGGAGCCATGGTATTCCAAAGAAGGAAATCTGTACCATTAAAAAATTTCATCACTTACTTCTGAGAGTATAGCAGTAAGACACATTTTACACCGCCTCGGTCAAAAGTGGACAAATTTTAAACATGATCGCTGATTAAAAAAAGTTCAAGTGATAATGAAATTAATAGAATTTTCTCCAAGTTAAAAGAATACATGCCAAAGCAATTCATATAAATTCCACAAAAAATATATTACTGAAGCTGGAATAAATTACGTAGTAACTGTTGAAGGTTTCTTGGACAGAGCCAAGTTAAACCTCCTGAGTTGAAATTCAGCACGGTTTATCAAATTCGACATTTTACGGAAAACGAAATAAAATGTCACACAAGAATGCCTTCATTTGATTGTTTCTACAGTATTTCAAAATCCTCGAAAACCCAAAAACGGTTCAGATGAGTTGTTCTCCTTCAATGCTGATAAATACGTGTATGAAACTCGCCATTAATCATTAACCAGACACACTATAACTTAAACCTCCTACTCATCCACAACATCCATCATCATACAACTTCGAAATCATCCAAACAGCTAATAAAAAACGCGAACTAAGAAATGGAGCAAGATCTACAACATCAAACACAAAAAGATCCTCTCCGATCAACCATTACAGATCTAGAAACCATCATACTTGTTCAAAATTTGATTAAAAATCCAACAGCAACAGAACAACCAGACGACGAACAAACAAACAAACAAAAAAATGGCGGAACGATAACAGATTTCAAAGTAGAGACAGCTGAAGCTTTCACCTACCTCCTCACTGTG